TTGTTATGTCTGTGCCTTTTAAAGCTAAATATACGGTATGGGATTTGCTCTTTATTGAAGGCCGTACGGTGACCTATAATTGTTTTCATTCACTTCAATTGAATTAAATTATGCTTTCTTTGAACATTTGTTATTGATGTCTTATATAATATTTAAACACAATCTTACGGATCACCTGAGATCAAAACACAGTTTTTGATGGGGTTCGTGTTGTTGAGTCGTTAGTTCTCTATGTTGTGTTTTGTGTACTGATGTTTGTCTGTTGGTCTTTTTCTTTTTTAGCCATGGCGTTGTCAGTTTATTTTTGACTTATGAGTTTGAATGTCCCTTTGGTATCTTTCGTATGGAACGCTACAGCTGTCTTATTTGGTAATCTGATATAACGTTATGTTGTATAAATATTACTTGATGATATTTTGTCTTTACATAATATGGTTTTGACATTACGTAATGATGTTTTGATATTACTCAATATGGAATAGTCATTACTTAATGATATTTCGATATTACATGATATGGTTTCGTATGGACTTGATATAGTTTTGTCATTATTTAATATGGTCTTGTCATAACTCGATGTGGTTTCATCATTATTTAATGTGGTTGTGTTATTAGGCAATGTGGTTTTAACATTACTTGATGTGTATGTGGCTTAACGTAATGTAGTTGTTTCATTACATGATGTTGTTTTGATATTTCGTAATGATGATTTGCCAATTCCTTATATGGCTTTAAAATTACATAATGATGTTTCAAAATTTGACGATTTTACACAACACGATGTGTTCGTTCCAGTATTTGATGTGGTCCTGTCATTCTTTGGTGTGGTTATCACATTACTTGATGAGGTAAAACCACGTGACTATTTGGGAAAAACTAGTTCTATTTTTATAACCGATTTCAATGTTTTATTTGCCTCGGATGGGTGTGGCAATCCATCGAGTTAGAGTTCAAATTAAAGTTCGGGTTACTGTTCGAATTAAACTTCAAGTTAGTCTCCGATTTAAACTTCGAGTAATTTTCGATTCCGAGTTAGAATTCAAGTCATAATTAGAATTAAAGTTCGAGTTAGCATTGAGTTTCGAGTTGAACTTCGAGTTTGAGTTACCTTTTGAGGTAGAGTTCGAGTTAGACTTCGAATCTGAGTCTCATTTAGATTAAGATTTCGAGTTGAAATTGGAGTTATCTAATATGAGTTCCTATTTAAATTTTCCATTCCGGATCATGGGCTTTTGCTAGGGCTTCCGAAAAAAGTGTTAAGGAGTATGCATGCAAAAGATAAACAATGTTACAGTATACAAAACACCACATAGAAATCGAAATAAAGTTAGATGTGGTGTAATTGCCAATGAGATAACTATCCACCAGAGTTTAAATACAGTGGATGTAAGCAATTATAGGCACCCGTAACTAATAACTAAACAACTTACGAAAAACAAATATGACACACATAAAACAACGACAACCATTGAAATTCAGGCTCCGGACAGGTACATAAAGAATGTGCTCGTGGCTGAGTTAAACATGTCTGTGAGCGCTATACCCTAACCCAGCTACCATGAATAGTGTAACAGCACAACACAAGAATAAACTGTAATAAACAGCTGCGCCATGAGCGCATGATACGCCCGTCGCTTTTTCAAAGAATAAAGTTCAATAACTTCTCAATGTTATATCAGAAATTTATGAAAAACTAAAGGGAGGTTATCTTAATAGATATAAACCAGTCACCAAAGCACTTTGAAGATATTGTTCGAAAACTGGAAAATCACCCATTTTTATGAATAATATCCCATAACTCGGAAATGTAAAATCTAAAATTTATAAAAATTGAAAGGGAGCTTGCGTCAATAGATATAAACAATTCATCAAAGTTTCATGAAAACTGCTGAAAGCATTTTTGAGTTATTGTCCGAAAACTGGAAAATCCCCCTTTTTTTAATGAATAAAACCCCATAACACGGAAACGTAAAATGTAAAATTTATAAAAAACGACAGGGAGTTCACGTCAATAGATATAAACACTTCACTAAAGTTTCATGCAAATTGGTTAAAGCGTTTTTGAGTTATTGTCCGACATGTTGACGACGGACGGACATACGGACGGTCGGTCGGACGGACGGACAACGGTATACCATAATATGTCCCGTAAACGGGCATATAAAAATCAGATGCAATTGGCTTAACTCTATAGATCGGTATGACTGTGCAATATAAATCCATCAAAATCCTGGGATAATCTCGGGTGCTCCGGAAGAGTAGGCAAATTCTGCTCAACGTGTGGCACCCGTCGTGTTATTCGTGAAAGTACAAACCCAGTGATTTTGGTCTAATTCGGTAGGTCACATTCGAGGAAAAGAGGACGGGATTGTGGTTACGACAACTGGAACATATCCGTCGTCACCTGTGAAACAGATATTCCAAAAAGTTAATTTTTTTTAGTGCGAGGTATATCACAGAATGGAATTTATAAAAAAATATATTAAAAGATTGATATTCGTATATGTTCAAATGATAATACACGCTAAAATAAATTTGGAGAATTCTTATTTTATAGAATTGATGCTTTGTCGCTTAGTCCGATACCCCCATTTCCCTGTAACTTTAGTGTGAGTTGCATTAAAGTGTCTCATTTGTTGACAATAACGTACAAGTCATTTGATGTGTGTCCAGCCTGCGATATTAATGTCGCAGGAGTGAGACACAACAAACCTATAGTCCGTCGTCGGCGTCTTCATCATTTAGATCGTTAGGTTACTCGTTTGAATTGTTTTTACATTTGTCATTTCTGGACCTGTTATAGCTTACTATGCGGTATGGTTTTTTTCTCATTGTTGAATACCATGCAGTGACATATAGTTGTTAACTGCTACGTCATTTGGTATGTGGTGGAGAGTTGTCTCATTGGCAATCATACCACATCTTCTAATTTTTATATAAGTTTTATATGCATTAAATATTACCAAATTAAACTATTTTGTCATGATAAATTTTTAAACCTCCATGAATTGTTATAAAACTTGTATAGGAGTTAATCTTCTATATCGAGATAAAGCATGTACAGAAAAACATTTTTTTTTAATTTAGTTTTTTACCGATAAATGGACGTTTTACAGTCAACATTACACTTTTACAATGGCAGCAGCAATCTCAGGCGAGACACAGGGTTCCGTGGAATTCTTCACGAATTTATTGTAATACTGCTTCCATTTGAGAACCAAGGGAAAAAAACGGCAGGACCAAGTGGCTTGGGGACATCCATCCCCCTTATGTCCGAAACATTGATATTTTGTTTGTACTTTTTTTTCTTATTTTTGTCTGCCGTTCCACTTTTTCATACCAAATAACTCTGAACAACAACTCGAACTTTAATTTGAACTTTAACTCAATGGATAGCGACACTCATCCGAAGCACATTAAACAAACGACATATGGAAATCGGGCTAAAAATAGAACTATTGTTTTTCCAAAATGGTCACATGGCTTTACCTCATCAAGTAATGTGATAACCACATCAAAGAATGACAGGACCACATCAAATACAGGAACAAACACATCATGTTGTGTAAAATCGTCAAATTTTTAACCATCATTATATAATGTTTAAGCCATATGAAGAATTGGCAAATCATCATTACGAAATAACAAAACCACATCATGTAATGAAACAAATACATAACGTTAAGCCACATACACATCAAGTAATGTTAAAACCACATTACCTAATGACACAACCACATTAAATAATGATGAAATCACATCGAATTATGACAAAACCATATTAAGTAATGAAAAAACCATATCAAGTCAATACGAAACCATATCACGTAAAATCGAAATATCATTAAGTAATGACTATTCCATAGTGAGTTATATCAAAACATCATTACGTAATGTCAAAACCATATTATGTAAAGACAAAATATCATCAAGTAATAATAAAACAAATAACGTAATATCAAAGTACCGCATAAGACAGCTGTGGCGTTCCATACGTTCGCCTCTCTTTTGCGATTTCATGACAACGATAATGCTTATTTTCAATCTAAAAATCATGGCTTATGAAAACAGCATCAATACCTGCGAGGAAAAGTGTTGATTGTAATAAATATTTGAAAATTATTCAAAAATCAACTGCATACTAACAATATAAATAAAAGGATTAAAAATATGATTTACCAAAACATGCGTGGTAGTATTTTCTAAAGATATGAAAATAATAATGTTTAATTTTGGCACAAACACAACAACAGTTACCCTTATAATAATAACGATAATTAATTTTAAACACGTGTGTTCTGTTTTTGGCAGCTTTCATCAATGGCGTCGAAGGATAATACACCAACTATTTATGTTTTGCGAGTGAAACAAGAAGATTAAACGTTTTAAAATATGAAATTTCCATAGATTAAAGAACCAATTGAGAAAGCTTGTCTTTCAACAAAAAACATAAATGTATACGAAAGTGAAGAAATGTAAAAAAAAACATCTGGGAAACGATAGATGAATTCTAAAACTTGATTCTTGAAATTTCTTTTTAAAACCCTTCGTTCATTTAACTTGTCATAAAGTTAATTTTAGTTGTCTTCCCTTCTTTCAAGGCAAACGTTGATGTCTCCTTTTTGTGAATTACAAGAACAATCAAAGAAAGACAACCCAATATAAACGTAAAAAGATGTGGTAACTATCCACTAGAGACCAAATGACGTAGATGTAGGTCACCGTCCGGTCTTCAACAATGAGCTAAACCCATACCTTACGAAGTTTATATCTTTATTCAAATAATTTATTCTGGTTATCTTATCAACACTTTTCATTCATTAGCATTTCGTATCATTTAACAATCGTATAATGCTGATCGCATAACACCGTTATGTCTGGTTTCCCAAATACCAATAATCAATATACGACTGTTGATAAGAGAAATATTTCACATGGGTTTGTTACTTAAAAGCAGATAATTTAATCATGAATATTGAATGTCCAGTGTTATTTATTTCAGAAAAAGTATGAATGGTTTCGATAAATGGCAGAGACGGTTATTTGGATCCTGATTACGGTTTTCGTCACTGCATACATAATCATAGACATCGAAGGTAGTTACATTCATTACACATTTCAAGGAAAAACCTAAAATACTTGCAATTGGAAAGTTATCAAGCAAACTGTTAACTGTAACGTTTTGTGTAATCTAATGAGTATTGGTCCTGTGTTGTTGATTCTGTGAAATATGCAAATGGGTGTGTTTGAGTTTTTCATTTTGCCATTTGATAAGGGACTTTTCGTTTTGAATTTTACTTGGAGTAATGTTTTTTTTATTTTAATTTTTCCCTGATTGTGACATTAAACTATAAGCACTGTGTAAACGAAAACGTACGGGACAAAGCACGAATTTTAAAGTTGTCTGGAGTTTTTATGAACCAGTTTCGCTTTCTATCCAAGGTCAATCAGCGAAAAAATCGACTATTCCTGTGACATTATACCATAAGCACTCTGACATCGCAAATGTACGAAATCATGCACGAATACGAATGTCGTCTTTACCATTCATAAATCCTTGATTTTATACCAGTTATGAATAATCAGAAAATGTATTTTTCTTGCGTAAACAATATGTCTACGCAAATATCACAAATCATGTTTCATGGAACAAATACAATATAAATAGCAAGAGGAAATTTATCTAGTATATCTTAACTTTTCTGTTCAATAGTATCTTTATATTTAGTTTGTCATGTGATAACTTATTAAACTGTCGAGCATATTTGATGAAAGTTACATCAGGTACACTTATGCGAACGGATATCGGTATCATACAGTTTTATTACTTTCACTTTCATTTTCACTTTCACTGTCACATTTCTGGTAGATCGTTGACCCGATGGGACAATTCATCATGTATCCTTAATACTAAAGAAAAAAGCAAAGTTTGATTGTAAATGGTAGAGCTAATATCCTATTTCAAGTTTGTTCTAAATTATATAATTTGAATAACCAATTTTGACAATTTCACATATTTCCATAAAATCAAAATGTTATTAAACGAATATGCAGAATGTTTTTGATTCAAAATTGCTACATTTTTTAAATGTAAAATGGGTATCCTATCATTTAATTCCAATATCAATTTTATCATAGAAGGTCTCTTACCATAACAATTGAATTGTTCCCGCAAAAAATAAAATATAAATTATTATAGCTCTTCTCTCAAACAATACTTGTTTTGGTTCAGAATGCCATTCTTATGCATTTTTAAATAACGTAAAAAAATAACAAAATCAGTTAAAATTGCGGTTTTCAGCTTTCTTTAAATATTATATACATATATTTTTGTCATCTGTTCAAGAATATGCCATAACAATTTTAGAACCTCAAAGTACATACCTGAAACTGTGATACTGATATTTAATTAAAAAGATTGACATTTTTTTTTAAATTGTCCTGATGTGAAAAAAAAACATGGAAGTTTGCCTTTGGGTGCTACTGTTTGACTGTTTATACATTTTGACACTAAAATTAAGGTTAGAACTCTTTTAGAAAAAGATGATCTTGATCAACATGGCTGTTCCATTTCAGTCTCTTTTTAATTTTGACATTCCTCAATGTTTAATAGATTTGACATTTCAAAATGTGTGTATCTAGAATTCTAGTTATTAAAGTTATTTAATACATAAAATAACCGTGTCGCCACAAGGAAAGCATTACCAAACGTTTATCAAAAATTTATTACAATTGGATATATATTTATTTGCATTAATAAACAGCTAATCACATTTCTTACAATCCCGATCTCTCTATCTTAATATCCAAAAATATTACTACAAAATGTATTCAGTATCTATGTTTCAATGTAACTTGGGGTTTCCGCAAACATGGATCGATAATGCCACAAGATTTACAGAAATATGCATATTTTGACAAAGAAGTAAGAATAATTTGTCTAAATGAAAAAACTAATATGACTGTACGTGCCCTTCTGTGATAACTCTTTTTGAAATTCTTAACACCAAAAGCTCTTGATTGATTCAAAAAATTAAAAATTTTGCCAAATGAAGGGACATACCCCAAACAGTTAATTTTCATATATACCAGAATGTACTGTAGCAAGAAAAACAGGTACTGTGGTCCTATTTTTTCTCCATTTTTTTTTTTTTGCTAAAAGCATCTTATTCAACTTTTTCTGTATTATTCTCGTTTCAAAATTATATAAGTCATGTTGTTATTCTGGTAATATAGCCGTGCATAATCCAAACAATATATTTGCTCATCCTGTGAAGAAAAAATTATATAAAGAAAAAACGAACAAGGTAAATTCAAATATAGTTCATAAAAACTTAAACTAAATGAAAAATAATAGGCACATTTACCAAAACTTTAAAACATTTGTTCGCGTATTTTAGCAATTCCACATCCCGATCTTCCCAAATTTTTGGTTTTAGCAATCCTAATGAAGGTTAATCCATAGAAGCATTTAGGACGCAATAATATGACTTCAGTTTTATCTTCGTTTTCGAAAGTAACACGATGCAAACATGTTTTTTTTTATAATTACATTCTAATTCTACCTTCAGGAAAAAATTGATGTTCACACATGATTTAAAGTATGCAAAAATAAATATCGTATTCACATTGGTTTTTAGGTGATATTTTCTGGAAGCTTCATACTAAACCTGTAGTATTTGGAAAGGACGTCCAACTGTCGTGTCATCTAACATATACCGCCCCTTGCTGTAACAGATATACACGAAAATGGGCTAAAGGCTGGAAATATAACCTTGCCATAATAAATGGAGTATCTTTGAATATTTTAAAGTACACAGAATCTGTAAACAATTCTGCAAACACCTCGATCTTCACAATTAAAACTCTCGAAGAATATGATGTTAACATACCTTATGAGTGCACTTATGGATTTAATACGTTCAGTAATGTTTTGGAAATGACAGAGGAAGATTTTGAATGTAAGTAAGTACAGCATATTGTGTGACTGTCTTGGCAAAGACTATAACGGTTTTATAATATTTAATATGTATTTATTTCATTTAAAAAAATAAAACCCATCTCTCCAAAATAAGTTATTTAAATCTAAATATTAATCACAAACACAATATATAAAGATGACTGTTCAAATCGTATTATTCTCTCCCATTGCAGAAATTATACGGTTTAAAACGGTAATCACAAAGATTTTTTATTCTACGAAGAAAGAATCAACTTGGAGGTTGTTTTTCTTCTTTTTTTTTTGAGATAATTGTTTGCACTACGAAGAGAGAAATAATCGCCGATGATTTCAAAACCATCTTACCGTATAAATTGGAGATGTGGTATGATACAACTACCCAAAGGAACCCAAATGATGACTGATTGATTGATTGTTGGTTGTTTAACGTCCAGTTGCAAATATTTCATGCATGTTCAGGACGAGAACAAATAAACAAAAAATACAATAGGTAGGTCGAGTAATAGAGGCCCTCCGGGATGAAGGTTGGGGAAATTTGCACTGCCACAGGAAAATGAAAGAATATTGTATAGGGACAAAAATGTAGCCTTGCAACAGGCCTCCTACGGACCCTTCAAAGATTTGTAGCAAGGGTTCTTAACGTGCAAATGCGGGGCACTCTCGTTACACGAGGCATCGGATTTAACGCCCATATTCTGACCAGACGTGGCTGTGAACTTGTACATCTTGCACCCAATTGATGAAGACTATAGGCCATTGTTCGGCCTTCAACAATGAGTGAAACCTATACCGTGGGGTCAGCTGTAAAAGGCCCCAACATTACCATATATGAAACAATTCATACAAGAATACAAACGGCCAGATTTATATTAAAAAATCAACGACAAACAAATATGAAAGTCAGGAATAATCGATAAGTCAAGAATTACAGGTTCTAACATGTATCTTGGAACAGGTACATTAAAAATTTGGCGGGGTTAATATTTTTTGCGAGAGCACTACCTCCCAGTAACCTGGGAGAGTTGTGTAACAACATAAGAACAAACAAAAAATATTTTACCACGGTATTCATTAATTGATAACCTTCAAGAATACGTGTATTCAAAGGATAAAGTTGTTTTTTACATGAACGCATCTTAGTATGCGAACTCTTATTCTATAAACAACATCAAATAAAAATTAGAATGTGATATCCTGTTTGTAAAATAAGAATTAAAGCCGACTATACGGTATGGATTTTTCTCATTGTTGAAGGCTCAAGCTTGCCTATCCACTTCATTTAAACGTTGGTGGATAGTAGTCACATTGTCATTCATACCACATCTCCTTATTTTTATACAATAATGTTTCAGACACCCGAAACACTTAATAGTATATTTAATACGAGGTTGTTACATGTTTAGTTCATTTTGAAGGGGATATGCTTAAATAGACGCTTTTGTACTTCTCAGATCATCCCATAGAAGAGCTTCCAATTAATATTACTAATTACAAAGATTATATTGAAGCAAATATATCAATGGAAAAAGTATATCCTTCTCCGAAATGTAATGCCACTGATGGGGTGAGTTCTTAAATAATACATGAATTTACAAAATGCATTTTTTAATGGTTTTAGATTTTAAAACCACTTGATAGTCAATACAGTAAATGAAAATCGATCAATCGAAAGTGTACATAGAAACTATAATAAGACATGTGACACTACATCCTCGATTGAAAAAGCAAACAAAAACATATCTGAAATACTAAAAATAACATAAAGTTCTTCGATGCAGTAAGTACACAGATACATGTACAGTATGTATGAACATGTTAAAATATACTTCCATTATTAAAATTACTTTATGTTGCTTGTATAATGGAGTACATTAGCTTTAATATGTAGCATAAATTTCAGTAATTTTAATTAGATATGAACATAATGTATTACATGACGTTTCATTTTTTTTCATTTAAATCATTTTTAAAATGTTAATTAGGTGTTAGTAAATGAGAGGAAATGAACGTCAAATTTTCATACCATAAAGATTAAAATGTATATTATATATATTTACAAAAAAAAATAAGCAATCTGCAGAAACAGAGTTAATTGTTAAGCTCAAACAACCCCAAACACCAACATTAATTAATATTTTGACGTTTCATATTAACCACACAATCACGACAAGGAAAAAACATGGTACCCTTATCTCGGGTTTTAATAATCAAATGTACTTAACGTTTAGATGAAAGAAAATCTGGGGCCTGGTTTTCGAAAGTATCCTAAGATATGTCATAAGATATATCTTGGGACAAATTTTATGACCATCATATGACTCTCATATGATATGTCATTTAATGTAAATCGGAGCTGTCTTAAGATAGTCATATCTATGATGCTCTTATGACTGTCATAAGTGAACATTTTTTGGTTTATTTAAATAATTTATATATAAATGATAAGAAATTAATAAAAATAGATATAAAAATAATAAGTTTGAACATCATAATTATTACCATTCTTATTATTTACGAATATTTTTTTTTACATTATAATAAACATGAAATTATATATGAAAAGGAATTAACATCTGAGATGATAATTTGTCTAAATTTAGTTTGTATATTATCTATCTTGAACTTCGCGTTCATGTCTTACTTAATTGTGAATACTTTTAAGATTCGACACATTGAGTACCCGCTTAACGAAATGCCCGTGCAAATATGTTGATAAAGTGCTACATAATCAATAAGGAACGAAATAGTACATATAAATATAATACAAAATCATGAGTAAGAAAAGTAGTTACAATTTTACGTCGCAGGAGATTCAAAGTTTAATTGACGAAGTGGAGAAGAATAAATCTTTACTTTTTAGCATTTGAGTTGATAATCATAAGACCATCATAAGTCATGTCGCGAGGTGTCTTAAGTTTACGATAAAAGTTATGACGTATCGTAACTTGGGACACCCTCGAAAACATGTTTTACGACTATGACATGTTCTAAGACCATCATAAGACATGTCTTAGTCATAAGATACTTTCGAAAACCAGGCCCCTGTATTCGAAGGATACCCACTTGTATTATTTACTGATAAGCGAGACAAGGAATAACAATTGTTATTTTTGATTAATGTATATCTGTTGTCATTATGAATAATATTTATCACCAAAATATTTTAAGATTTAACTTGTTTTCATTTCTAATCAATATTTTTTTTAAGAATCTTCTAATATTATTTTGTTGTTATTTTACAGATGGTGGACTTGAAACAAAACTTGACCATAACCAATGTTCGCAATGGTTTATTTTACACATCAAATATGTCTCTCGTCTACAAGATCATTGATACATGTTGCTGTAATAGAACTATTGAAGTCATATGTTTTATTGGACACACGTCTTTTACAGTAGTTAACGACACTGTGCCATGTTTAGAGGGTACTATTCTAATATAAAAATAGGAAGATGTAGTATGATTGCCAATGTATGTATACTGGATCTGAATATGAAAACAAAAACATTGTATAAGATATTGGCATTTGGAAAGCCAATAAAGCAAACAAAACAAAAAATAAAAGAACAGAACAGATAACTATATATACATGTAAATGGTAAGATAAAAAAGACGGAAACATTTTTATTCCGTTAATTGTGTCCGTCGTTTTTATTATTTCAAGTAAAATGTTTATGATAAGTCGCATGATGGTTTACATATCGGCTTGAAATCATGTTGATTTGTAATCGGTAAAGGGCAGTGCTAGCAATGAATTCAAATTCAAAATGAAACTACAACGTTTGTTCCTATGAATCATTACCACAGCAAGCCTTTTCAATCGTTGTACAGGAATTGTAGTAAGATAATTCTGATTTCGTGGTAAGCAGACAGTACACCAACTGAAATACATGCAGCTTCACGTTAGAGCTCAAATTATACAAGGCTATTCTTGAAAAGAATGCTAAATCTAGAATAATTTTCTCGTTTCCTACTTTATTGGATGAAAACTTTATTGACGTATTGTCCAGTGTCAAATGGTTCATTGGTTAAAATACTTCATAGAATAGCAACTTCATAAGCGCACTTGAATACAACATCTTGCTTAATGCCGAGAACAAATGTGCAGTTTACAAAATTAAAAAAATAACGATTTATTTTGGTTTGTCCCCTAATATTTAAAGATAACATACCAATATAAAATTTCATTCAATTTCAGCAAAACCTAAATATCCCAAGAAAAAGAAAACTGAATTTGTATTTGTGGTAATAGCTGCATTTATTGGGTGTGTTGGACTAGTTGACATAGTTGCCCTCATTTTGATTTTACTGCGTTAGCCTTGTAAGTACCTTAATGTTCAGTAAAATATAGAATCGGGAGGTGTTTAAATTCTATACTGGGTTGCACAACGTCAGTTAATGTTTAACAACATTTATATTTAATTTTCAATTGCATCTGTTAAATTCGGTTGTTATCTGTAAGTCTTTAGTGTGGAAGGATGCACTCATTTTGTACTCAGAGGTAGGAATGATCCACTGAAATAGGTCACTATTCCAAGCTTTAGAATATTTGAAAAGAGTTAGAAGCTCCTACAAAAATTTTAGTAAAGTATTCTATATTTTTTTTTTTACGAAAAATTTAGCTTTCCCCATGACACAGTTTCATCAGTGCAGTTTTGTTGTCATTGTTTAAACCTTATATATACAATGTAATAAAAATTCAAAAACTTGTAACAGCTTTTTTACCATTTTGAACGAGTCTATGTTGACAAGTTTTTTTTTTAATATTCAATTCAATTTTTTCTTTTCGGATTAAATGAACAAATCCTTTACTTCCTTCTTAGAAGCCCAAAATTCGTTGTTTCATAATACATTATCTATAATTTGTAGCGGCGCTTCCCTTCACCAGTGCTATAAAAGATATAAATAACGCATGGTGAATATTTATACCCCCGCTCCTTCCGTCAGTCCATCCGTCAGTCCATCCGTCAGTCCGTCCGTCCGTCCCATGAATATTTTCGTCGCATTTTTCTCAGGAACTACTTGACAAGGATTTCTGAAATTTGGTTTCAGGGTTTATATAAGTAAGTTACACCGTGTGATGCGTTTTCAGTTTCATCACTCAACAACTTCCTGTTTACCGAACACTTGTATTATTTTACACATGATAGACAAGTTGAAAATTTTCGTCACATTTTTCTCAGGAACTACTTGACAAGGATTTCTGAAATTTGGTTTCATGGTTTATATAAGTAAGTTACACCGTGTGATGCGTTTTCAGATTCATCACTCAACAACTTCCTGTTCACCGAACACTTGTATTATTTTACACATGATAGCCAAGTTGAAAATTTTCGTCGCATTTTTCTAAGGAACTACTTGACAAGGATTTCTGAAATTTGGTTTCAGGGTTTATATAAGTAAGTTACACCGTGTGATGCGTTTTCAGATTCATCACTCAACAACTTCCTGTTTACCGAAATATTACGGCGGGGATATCATCAGTGAGCAGTAGCTCACAGTTTTACTTGTTTTTTGTTCCGTTACCAGACAAGCGAACAGACCCCGAAATGTGATCCTGTGATGCAGTGCCAACTTTGAACAAAAACTTGATGCTGGAGTTGTATATCTTAACAATCTAATTCCTCTGTTTCGATGAAAATGATGAATGAATGTATGGAGGTTTACAAGGTTCTGAAAAAAGTTTGATTTTTAATGATTGAATTTCAGTAAAGTGAAGCTATTTCTGTTAAGATACATGTACAGTATCAGTTTTGTATACTTTAAAATGCTTAAGGGAATTGAAATTGTCTCAAGAGGGACAATTTTAACGTGATAACTAAAGTTCCATATTCCGTTGCAGTTTTGTTTACATGTAGACGTCGTAGTTACGAAATCTAATCTCATGACTAAAAAATGTATTTGTGATTGTACAGAATTATCCATCGAATGAGTAATAAAATTAGTATTTGTAGCCATGCATTTGGTATATTGTGTTGCCTTCATTGTTACTAAAGTATAAAGTAATTGATAAGCGTCTAAAATTCAAATATAGAATTGAGAATTGAAACGTTCGGGGAATGGGTTGAAGAGACAAAAATCCAATCAAAGAGCAGAAAACAGCCTGGGCCAACAATAGGTCTTCAACGCAGCGAGATAATTCCGGACCCGGAGGCGGGCTTCAGCTGACCCCTAAAAATGATATATACTAGTTCATACATGCATATCAGGACGAGAATGATATTTATGTTATGAACCTTGCATCTACTAGTCGTTATGTATACTGAGCCGGAATGTCAACTTATTATTTTTTCAGATTACCCTATCAGGGCACATTATTCTGACCCATGGCTGCTTATTTCCTTACTCCGACATGCCGTGCGCTAAGCTCAAAATCTGCAAAAACTAGCTTAAAATTATTCGGTTTTACCAGGCTGATGATTTAACTCATGACCTCCTGCGTACAGGACTAGTTTCTACTGCATTTTGGACTTTAGCGGGAGACACGTTTATGTTTTTTTTCTTTCAAACGAATGGAGGTGCTTTGCTTCAAAATATGAAGTGACTATAGGGAATACGCATTTTTAAAAAGATTTTGTTTTACTTTATTTTCTGTCACAAATTGTGTTATAAAACCTTTTTTGAGTAGTATAGTGTTGAAATAGAAATAAACTGCAGACACGAATTTTCATTTTGCTCTAATTTGCATTCATCGGAGCTTTTAAATAAAACCATTTTTACTATGTTTTTGCCAAGTGAATCCGTTTCATTTGGTGGATTTTGATACGAATTTTGGATCCGATATATACATGTAGTATATAATTAGAAGCATACTAAAATTAAGTGTTACATCCGATGTTTTTAACCTTTTGTACACGTTCGACTTTACTAAAATCTGCAAAAAGGAGATTTTCTAGTGAATATGTGGCAATTGTGTTTACATATGAATAAATTACTACGACAATTGCATTTGATTACATCAGTACCAATGCATCTAGAGGTGACGCGTTTTAATAAATGATTTAAATAAAAGAAAACAAAATAATATTTATGATTTTGAATTGCAGCTTTTACAAATGATCAATCCAGAGACTCCTAGCACTCCGGCTTCCTCCACCAATAAAAACTGACCTCCACGAAATAGCACAATAGGTTGAAAGTGGCGTTAAACACTAATCAATCAATCATGAGATTCATCGTCGGCATCTTTTTACAAACAGCAGAAACGGAACTCTAAAAAATTTTAAAGGAAATTATCACAACTTTCTCTGAGGTTCATGCAAGCTGTATTAATAAATAAATGGAGACTTACTTATTATTATAATAGTTAAACGGATGTACATGTAATCACATGGTATTTGATGTAATATACAATATATATTCCTGTAACTGTCGTATGTTATATGTGTTATTATATGTAAACCAGACGTCAAAGACGTCATAGTGGAATGAATGTTGTTAAAAACCATTTTCTTCACTTTTTGGAGTGTTTTTTGTGTGTGATATTAGGTTGTAATAACTTCATTTCCTTTCATTCAAACGTTTTTGCATGGTAGACACGTGTGAGATCAAGAACACAAATTTGAGTTGAGATTTCATTTATAAGTAGAGATCTTATTTACATTTTAACGATTTGATCTTTAGAACAACTTTTAGATCAAACGTTCCGAGACAAAATTGTTTATAAGTGAGCACATGATTAATTCTTAATTGAAATCCATCTTCATAATCATAAAATGCTAAAAATAGTTAACAGTTTGGTCTGATTTTGATTAATAAACCTGTTGTCATAACTTGATGCGCTCATTTTCCTTCTTGGTTGTCTATATATTTCATTTTTCATTGGTAGTTATGCATTTGCATGAAATATTGTTTATCTTACGTTAAGCAAGTTTTAATCAACCAATCAATCTTTAGGAATCGATTATATATTATGGAAGCGAATTGACTGCCGCGCATATACTATTGACCAACCGCCTTCAGGAATGGCGATGGAGTTCCTACGCCTTTAGTGACGACGACCGGTTTTCTTTTTGGAGGGAACCGTGATTTATTAATACAGAGAGACGCCGATCTTTATAGAACGCCTCATTCCTTCACATTTAACTACATATAGTCAATGCTTTAATATTAATTCAATAACCCAGCGTACGCGGTCAAAAGTTCGATACTTAACTACTAGTTATCCGACGAACAATTAGGGAAGGTGAAGGCAGGAAAGCATTGTGATAATTAAAACTTTAAAAAACTGACTGTATTGTAGTAAAATTGATTTTACGTTGGACAACATTAAAAGAATATAATATAAATCAAGCATCTAACTACAACATAGCAAAACAATCGAAAGTTTAAAACAGCATAACCCGCTTCACCCTAACTAATTAATTACTGACCTCTGATCCCAAATGATACAGAATTAAGGAGAAGTTGTATGATTTTAAATAAATGAAATATCTACGCAAGACCACATGGCAATGATGTGACCATTTACAGGTAAACGGTATGGCTTCAACAATGAGCAAATTAAAAAAAAAAACACAAACAGCCTACAGTGATAAACAAAAACGTTATGGCAGACAACAGCCAAAACAACAAGCTTATCTCATCAGATCAGAACTAAACACCCATAAAAAAATTAACAAAACGACTAACAACACAAAGTTACTTACCGGACTGATCACATTTACTTTTGTTTTTAATGCCGATAGGTTGCTATTTGAATCTAGTCAATGATTTAGATGCAACTGATATTTGTACTTTTTTTATAAAATTAATGTTAATTGGTTTTAATTGTTTCTACCACTTCTGGCTTTTTATTGAATCAATGGAAATTTGTTGTTATCATTGAGTATGAGCTGAAATAAATAACAAGTTGAACCACGTTATTTTTCGTTGAGCCTATTCATTGTTTAAAGAATTGAAGAGTTGTCTATCATGGTACACAAAATCCCATTATCTAACACATTCAATATAAGTCCGCCAGAGTTGTCTCCCATATTTTGGATAAACATTACAATTTTTTACCGAGATTTTTATAGTTCATATTGCATTGCAAACGGTCCGTGTAACACTTATTAATGCAAAATTTCAAAAAGTTTTAAAATTTTAGTTTTTTTGAATTTTTTATCAAAGTTTTAAAATATCAAAATTCCAAATTTTTTATTTTTTTTTAATTTGAAAATTTCACCAAATAATTAAAATTTTAAAATTATAAACTTCGTTTTAAAATTTAATAGTTTAGATATTTAAGCAAACTTTTAAAATACTAAACTGAACGTACAGTTTTGATCATTTCGCATTTTGAAAGTTTGAATTTTTTAATTTTTGATTAAAATATAGGAAAGGGGGAAAGGACTAAAACGTAGATACCTTTTACAAGTGCGAAACGGAATAAGAATGGAAGGAAACGAAATGAAATTAACTAAAACAAATCAAAAGGAAAACAATATTAACTTAAACTAAATATAATATAAAACAAGAGGCTGAATTGTTTGAACTACAGTGTGAAAATGAGAAATATGTTTCTTTAAGTCGGAAAAATTGATTAGTAAGACCTGATTTTGACACACGTTGATTCTCTAAATAAATGAACAATATGCAGAAATTACTTGACAACTTTGTGATTACTCCTCTAAATGTGGTTATAAATAGTATATGTCTGTATATTTGACTTTGATACCTCCACGATGGGCTTCAATAATGGTATATTTTTCACGTACATATCAAGGAATTTGAAAAGGTGGGGTCTAGTTACCCAACGTTTGGACTGATGCTTGTAAAAAGTATATACATTTATCATATATGAAGCTCCATTAATTAGGGGTGGGTGGATCCCGGGTGGGCGGGTCCCGGGTGGCGGGCCCCCTGCCCCCTAAATCCGCCTCTGTTTTTAAATAGCGAATAAAAGGAAACGGGATATTTGATTTTTGTATTAAGGGATAGTTCCGTATTTGTTATTGCGCATTTTTAAGTTATCGTACGACAATCAACTTTGAGCAAAGCACAAGTACTCAGCTACGTCGAGTCAGAATTGGGCGTGTAGAGAGAGTACCCCTGTAACAACTCGTTAGTTGCCTGTTGCAAGTCAAAATTTCTATCCCTATCCAAAATATCCTCATTTTCCAGTGGCGACCTACATTTTGACGATCTTCATCCTGGACGGACTCTATTACAGGACCTACTATTGTATTTATTGTTAATTTGTTATCGTCCTGAACATGCATGAAATATTTTCAACTGCATGACGTTTAGCAACCAATAATCAATCATTTAAAATAGGCAATTTATATATAAATTATAAAGAATCCAAGGTTTCAACTCCCTCAGGCAAATATGAACTTAGATGGATTTTGCTATTTTTAATGTCAATTTTGGCCATACACCTCTTCAATTGTTTCGGTTCTAATATATATGTAAGCCTCAAATCTATGTCCAGCCTCAAATCTATGTCCTTTCCGCAAATCTATGTCCTTTTAATATTGCGTCATAGACGTTCCAAATTTATGTCCTTTATTGTCTCAAATCTATGTCTTTTATTGTCTCAAATCTATGTCCTTTATTATTTCAAATCTATGGTATGGCCATTTTTGTTTTTGAAATCTATGTCCTTTATCGAAATGTGGTGACGTAAGGAAGTTACATGGACGGGAGTCCCTATCACCCACATAGCCAAGGACGCATAGAACGCTTCAATAGACCACTAACAGAATATTTTAGAAAAGAGATGTCATTGGAAAAAGACTGACTGGCCTTCAAAATTGTCTGAATTGTACAACAGGGTACACAAAAGTATTTGTTAACGGACATAGATTTGCGAATGACGTCATGATTGAAAATAAATTTGAAAATAGGACACAGATTTGAGGCCGTATCTTTTTTTAACGGACATGGATAAGCGATTGACGTCACGATGGGGCACAGATTTGAGAAACGGACACAGATTTGAGGCCGTACACAGATCTGAGGTTTACATATATACTTGGCTTTCAAATATTCAGCTTTGAGTGTTCCGGATGTAGGTAAATACAGAAAAACGCTTCGGACGCACGCAGTCAAGTGTTGTTTAATTTTTTATTGGATATTCCATTCAATTCAAATGTTATTGTCAATGGGAAATAGTACATGGGCGGTTTAAGGTTTCGGATTCTGTTACTGTAATTTTATTTTTTGCGGGGAGTTCTCTTTTAGTAGAATATTTGTTTATATTAAATTTTTCTGATTTTTCACTGCTATTCCATAATTTTTTTTCTCACTTTTTTAAAACTCAGGAGTTCACCAATGTAATATTTATCAATCATCATCATCATCATCATACTTTATTTCCTCCTATAGGAGATTGACAACATGCATATATAAATTATGTACAATTATAAAGTTTTGTAATTATATAATAGAATGTCACTTAATATTTTGAATGGAAAAGTATTTACAGTCTACAGTATTTTAGAAAGGAAAATCCTTCGTTAAGGACTTCCAAACAATGCTCTGGTGTTAAAAAGTCTAAGAGAGCTTCCTGATTGCCAAGCAGAAAGCAAGACACGTACTCGTCTGATTTCGAAAGCAGTGTGTATACGAAATTGTCACTAGTCATTTCTGATAATCTTTTATATAGCAAGTGTCTTTGTGTTTGAAGTTTTGCGCACATACTAATTTGATGGTAAAGTGTATCTTGAACAAAGTGTCCTCACAAGTTGCAATTTCCGCTAGTCGGGGGAGTAGACCAAAGTTTAGCTACATGTTTCGCTGTTAGAAGTCTGTCAGTAATTTTTGCATATTGCCACAGGAAAACATAGCCATTGTTCTCAGACAATCTTAGAAATCTTATAAAATCGTTGTCACTACGCATTCGTTCTTCCTTTTGAAGTCTCTCACTCAGGTTAATCGCACTATTGACAATGTTTTTCCATTGAAATTTGGTTGGGAAACTGCCTGTAAACATATAGCTATTCAAAAAATTCAAAAGTGAATATTTTGATAAAATGTTAATTACATCTGGGATGAATCCATATTGTTTTCTACGGGTATCTCCGAAAAACTGATAAAGTCTATAAATGAAAATTTGTTTGGTAAGTGATTCGGCCTTCATTTCGCAAAGTTTATACAGGAACATCAGTTTCCGTTTTTCTTCTAGTATAGGTAGTCTCTCAAGGTTGGTCATAGATTCACACATATCTGACCGTGTTCGTTAAGGGAAGCCTTGAATATGTTTAACAATGAAATATTGGAAAGTTTCAAGACACCTTATGTCTTTTGGTTTTATCCCATTCCAAAGCTCACATCCGTAAAGTACTGCAGGCATAACGATTTTATTGTAGAGGCCACACACAGTTAACGGATTTAACAAACAAGATCCAGTACCGGCTATAGCAACATAAGCATTGCGACCCTTCCTACATGAATACTGGATATCTGTGCTCGGTGATAAGTCAACCGTCCTTAATATTCCAAGGTGCTTGGTCTCAGTTGAAACGTTAACACTATTATCATCTAGATTGAATACATGGTCTAGTTCAGTTTTGTAGCACAAGATAACAGATTTCAGAGGATTAAACTCAAATCTCCATTTAAGTGAATAATCGTACGCACAATTCAACAGAATTTGGAGTCTTTGTGGTGAAGTACTTCGTCAGCAAATGATGGATTACTTGTACAAATATTTGAAATATTTTCGGTTCCAACTAATTCTAATTCATTTAATAGGTCATAAATGTAAACCAGGTAAAGAAGAGTCAATAGTATACCGCCTTGCCTGACGCCCTGTCGGACTTTGAAGGGTACTGATACGTGTTCATTGACGTAAACGGCACT